CATGTCACAGCTCTCCTGCACTCCTCAGATAGCAGCTGTGAATACTCTGTACAAGTTACATTTGCAATCTCTGCACTCGGATACAATGACATTATCCGTCATTTCCGGATGGCCGATATTATTTTTATTGACTGACCTCAACCAACACATGGATCTCATTGCTTTAAATGAACAGATTGATATTCAGTTCTGTAATGTAACTCACCGTATACAAACACAGGCAGGAAATACCCAGCCGGGATGATCATGGTGTTTGCAAGCAGAAGCATGAAGAACTGCGGACAGGAGAAGAGTTCTGTGAAGGTCTCAGAGGATAACACAATGATAGCGGTGATTGGGGTTCAGTACTTCCAACACACGTTACAACTTACATCAAAAATCAAAGTCTGCTTATTAGTTATACCTGCCCCCCCCCTCCCCCCAATGCTGACCCACCAACCTTCCCAGCACTCCCCTGGTGCTCCTTTCACCAAAATACTGGGTGTCAGCTGATGTTGGAGCCTAGAGTTAGCAGTGATGTCACCCCTCTGTCATGTGTCAGTGCTCTGGCCTGGTGATAGGCCGCTTGGACCATGCACTGCATTATGGGATGCGGTGGAAGAAGAAGCTGCGGGGGAGAGCAAGAGAGGCGAATATCAGCGGGTCGGGTGCGTGCGTGCGCTGGGGATCCTTAAGAGTTACCATACACATTACAATCGGACCATACCATCGACTTTAGATTTACCAAAACAGTGTGATATGAGGACCCACCTAAACTATCCAATCACTTTGCCTTCAGTCAGGTTGGCCCTCAGACTCTATAGCTGTTGGTAGATCTAAAGGAGATTGTACAATCAGATGGCAACGTGTGTGTGGTGAGCTTTACACTGTCCGCCATTTCCTGAATGGGCAAAGTGAAGCTGAACTGCAGTAAGCAGCTAAATACACAGATTAAATATATACTGTATATGGGAGCTGGAATGCCTGCCAAAGGATGTGTATATCTGTCCATCCAGCCCTGAGATTTACACAGGGGACTGGCTCAGTGTTCTCTGTACAGCACCACAGGATATGTCAGAGATATTCATGTATAATAGTAACAGTGTGTGATTGTCGCGGGACATTAGAGTGTAAGCGCCTCTGTACAGAGACTGATGTGACTGTGGGGGGGGAGGGGACATTAGAGTGTAAGCGCCTCTGTACAGAGACTGATGGGACTAGCTCAGTGTTCTCTGTACAGCACCACAGGATATGTCAGAGATATTCATGTATAATAGTAACAGTGTGTGATTGTCGCGGGACATTAGAGTGTAAGCGCCTCTGTACAGAGACTGATGGGACTAGCTCAGTGTTCTCTGTACAGCACCACAGGATATGTCAGAGATATTCATGTATAATAGTAACAGTGTGTGATTGTCGCGGGACATTAGAGTGTAAGCGCCTCTGTACAGAGACTGATGGGACTAGCTCAGTGTTCTCTGTACAGCACCACAGGATATGTCAGAGATATTCATGTATAATAGTAACAGTGTGTGATTGTCGCGGGACATTAGAGTGTAAGCGCCTCTGTACAGAGACTGATGGGACTAGCTCAGTGTTCTCTGTACAGCACCACAGGATATGTCAGAGATATTCATGTATAATAGTAACAGTGTGTGATTGTCGCGGGACATTAGAGTGTAAGCGCCTCTGTACAGAGACTGATGGGACTAGCTCAGTGTTCTCTGTACAGCACCACAGGATATGTCAGAGATATTCATGTATAATAGTAACAGTGTGTGATTGTCGCGGGACATTAGAGTGTAAGCGCCTCTGTACAGAGACTGATGGGACTAGCTCAGTGTTCTCTGTACAGCACCACAGGATATGTCAGAGATATTCATGTATAATAGTAACAGTGTGTGATTGTCGCGGGACATTAGAGTGTAAGCGCCTCTGTACAGAGACTGATGGGACTAGCTCAGTGTTCTCTGTACAGCACCACAGGATATGTCAGAGATATTCATGTATAATAGTAACAGTGTGTGATTGTCGCGGGACATTAGAGTGTAAGCGCCTCTGTACAGAGACTGATGGGACTAGCTCAGTGTTCTCTGTACAGCACCACAGGATATGTCAGAGATATTCATGTATAATAGTAACAGTGTGTGATTGTCGCGGGACATTAGAGTGTAAGCGCCTCTGTACAGAGACTGATGGGACTAGCTCAGTGTTCTCTGTACAGCACCACAGGATATGTCAGAGATATTCATGTATAATAGTAACAGTGTGTGATTGTCGCGGGACATTAGAGTGTAAGCGCCTCTGTACAGAGACTGATGGGACTAGCTCAGTGTTCTCTGTACAGCACCACAGGATATGTCAGAGATATTCATGTATAATAGTAACAGTGTGTGATTGTCGCGGGACATTAGAGTGTAAGCGCCTCTGTACAGAGACTGATGGGACTAGCTCAGTGTTCTCTGTACAGCACCACAGGATATGTCAGAGATATTCATGTATAATAGTAACAGTGTGTGATTGTCGCGGGACATTAGAGTGTAAGCGCCTCTGTACAGAGACTGATGTGACTGTGGGGGGGAGGGGACATTAGAGTGTAAGCTCCTCTGCACAGCTCTGCATAATATATAGGTCATTAGAGAGACATTTTTCACATCCTGAACCCTCTAATCCAGTGTAAAGTTTCCATCCATCACCTTGTGTCTATAGACAGCAGACATAGTAGAGCTGAGGTTGAAATAGTTACAGGAAAGGGCTGGTGACCAGCGTATTACTTACCTTCATCACTACAAAGATGGCCAGCTTCTCTACGGATGACAAGTGCGGATGTGTCCACTGCAGCCAGGGGTTGTCGTATGTTGGATTTGGCGGCTGTCGCGAGGCATTTACATTGATGGATAATTCTTCCACTCCCCAGGTGAAGTTGTTGATGAAAGTCTCGATGTGTTCTTTCATTGTCAGCTAAATAATAAAACCATCGGCAGGTTACGTGCTATGCGAGACAAACACAAAATCCATTTCGCACATCTTGCCAATACATTCGCACTGCCCCATGTTCTGTATAGAGAAATACCTCGTGATATGCTAGACATACAATGTCCTCCATACTTCCTGTTTGAGCTGACAAGGCTGCCCCTGCTGCACTGAAATCCAAAGCAGTGTTGTCATCTCTGTCTGAGTTCTCCTCTGCTGGACTACAGAACACTTCCCCCATGTTATGGAGATGAGGAGAAGAGAGGGGAATCCAGAAGAATAGAGCTTCGCAGGGCTGACAACACCGTCCCTCTGCTGTGCTGAAATCTCAATCAGTATTGTTCAGGCTGACCTGTGCTGGACTACAGAACACCATCCTCAGGAATACACTTATATATTTGGACTCTTGCATCAGCTCAGGGTTAGAAACATAATTTGCAGGTCCTTCATCGTACTTGCTGGTGAGATTTCACCGTTTACTCCCTGCTAAGCAGCCTAGTCACTGCACACGGTACTTACCCGAGTGCCTCCCATGTACTGCCCGAACCCATGAGGGAAGGTGATGCTGGCCAATACCAGGGCGACAAATGCAGCATACACAATCTTACTGCAAAATAAAAGCATTTCATGGACATCAGTGTGTCTGTCTGTCAGATCTCTCAATACTACTACAAACAATATGCAAAAAAGCTTGTACATTTAGGCCCCGTTCACATTGAGCGATTTATTGCGCGGTAATTCCCACGATATCGCGGCAATTTACCGCACGATATCGCTCTCCAATGCTTCTCAATGGGGCAAAGGGTCCTGTTGTCGCAGGTCGTGCGTCGCTACAGCGGGACCCTTTTTGGAGCAGATTTAGCCGCGATTCAAGCTTGCTCAATGCAAGCATTTGCGCGATATCGCGCAAAATGAAGATCCCGCGACAAACGCGCGATTCGCGAATCACGCAGTGTGAATGGGGCTTAACTGTCCTAAGCTGTCACTGACAGCATGGTCACCATCACCATTACCTATCGGGAACCAGGTAGGGTGGATCCCAGTCATGTATTCTCTATGTCAGCTAGAATCACATGCAGGCTGGCACTGCAAATGCAGTTGGAGCCTGGCAATAGCAGTGTTTATCTATTTAATATGGCAATTGTAGGATACAATTACAGTATTAAGAAAATGAAACCATAGAAAACAAAAAAAAATGCATTGTTTTTACATTTGTCATGCTATGAAAAAGAAGAAAAAAGTGAATATATAGTAAGACTGTATTCAATAAAATCTATATGTTTCCTTAAAAATATACAAATTACTTTGTTTACACTATTAATAGAACTGCTTTTTCCATGAAGGCTTTTGCATGGTTTTCCCCCCGCTGTTTGCATGGTTGAATGGTGCTTGGCTGCAAACTCTGAAGATTTTCCAACCGGCACCTTCAATCTTCTGAGGGATGCCGCCCGGAAGGGAGCTGACATGGGTACCCTCTGTGCGAAATTTGCATATTGTACGGCCAGCTTTAGGCATGCTTATTACAATTCAAAAGGTGTCAGTCCGGCCTCATACAGCGTTGCAGATGCTTCTTCTGGTTGGTTTCCAGAATGTGAAGTCTGCACCCTTACTTAGTGAATGCCGAGATGTCGGGAGAGATGGCAGTATATTCGCAGAGCAGACCAGTGCTGAGAATCACACTTACTTGTTGCGGAAGAATTTCCCAACCCGCTCGTTCCTATTGATGAAAAGTAAGGTGACGCGGTGAAGAAACAGGTAGACGCAGCAAACGCAGCCGCACACAACACTGGAACGAGAAGAAAGCACATAAAGGAAATGAGTCTTTAGTACTGATAAGTAGTTCTAATGTAGATCTAATTAGATCACTTGTATTAAACGAGCAGCAGCTCCCACTGTACATTCAGCTCTGCTCGTCAGGAGCAGGGCTGAATGTACAAAAAACTACTCCCCCGGGCGCCCGAAACTGCATGTCCTGGGCGTCGGGCGATAGGTATTCGCTCCACAAGACGCAGGCACATTTATCCCCTCCTTTTGGGTGCGTCTTATGGAGCGAAAAATACGGTACATGACAGAAAGCTTTTTTTATAAATAGAGGGATCTCGGGGTACAATAAGTGCAATACGTATTCATTTCATGATAATAATATTTTCTCTCTTCAGCTAGATCTGTCAAGCAACATGAAGGTATCTACTACCATGAAACAAACCCCCGACCTCCAGCCTGCTCTTCTACCATCACTGTAAGTTCATCAAACTTCTTTCTACACATCATAGTAAGCGGTCAGCGATCACACTCCTGTCACTGGCTATTATGGGTCACTCTCAGGCAGCCGCTAAAAATGGTTCAATTAATTTTGGTTCGGGATTAGGAGAGAATTTCCATCGATTTCTGAGATGGCCCTAAACATACTTCGGCCATTTTGTACTACGTATTTACGTGAAGCGGCGCTCTCAGCATTGGCGGTTATAAAATCAAAATATCGATCAACTCTGAAAAACGTAGAAGATGCTCTACGTCCCGCAGTATCAAATATTCTGCCAGGATTTCATTCTTTATGTGAAAATAAACAAGCCCATCCACCTCATTAGTATGCAAATTGGCTTTCATAAATGGTAAAATGATATGTATACCAGAGAATTGTTTTAAATTACATTTCTTTATGATGTATCATCAGTGATTTGTATACCCGTTTTATATACCCGGGGTCACGTAAACATTTCCTCGGGCGAAAAGGGGTCACGAGTGGAAAAAGTTTAAAGGAGAACTATGAGGTGAGTGAACATCAATCATCCTCATAGTTGCTCAAAGTTTGAGCTGACGTGTGACAATGATACTGTCACACGTCGGCTCAATAGATGGGAAGTGAGCGAACACATGATGTCGCTCACTTCTCGATCATCTCCCGGCAGTGAGTGGTGACTGTCAGTCACGGCTCCCCGCAGGGATCCCCCCCGCATCCCCTCTCCGATCCTCCAGTGCTGAGTGGAGGAACGGATGGGGGAGGGGGTAGGTACAGCTGGCTCTGCCTCTAGATAGGCAGAGCCAGCTGTCACTCACGCAGCTGGGCGGATCTCGACAGTAGAGCTGCAGCTCGCTATATACTGAGCTTTGGGTCACGGGAGGGGGTTAGTATATATCCTCAAGTGACCCTTAAAATAACTATGGGGAAAAACACTTACCTCATAGTTCTCTTTTAAGAAGCCCTGAGTTACAGGTATGCCAGCTACATTAAGACGCAGTTTACAAAACTGCACAGTGCATTTTACTCTACTTGGACCTCTTTGTCTGCATAACCTCAGAAGGTGAACTCAGCCTTTAAACATAGCATGTGATCAATGTGTAAGACGGGAATATGAGTTTTGGTTGGAATCGGCCTGTATCATCCACTAGACTGGATTATTGTAAGGGATGTTCCAGCTGGTTGCTTTGTTGCTAGGTGTGTTTGGCCAATCTTATTTTAATTGCAATAAAAATACCAAAAACACTAATTACAATTATAAAATGATGTCTCCAAACACCGTTGTACACACTGTACTTGTATATATTAGACGAAAAAGCATCGAGCTGCAAGTTTACTCACCCCAGAACGGCGTATGAAAAATATTCTGGGAGATCAAAAGGGAATTCCACTGTCCATCCGGTACGAAAAAGAATGGCCACGGTCTCTGGAAGAATGGTAAGAAAAGGAGGAAAGGTCATTATAGGAACCGGATCGCTGACAGGTTATTGAAGATTTTAACACAAAAATAGAACATAAGAGAGTAAGCAACCCAATGTTGTGCTGCGTCCTGAACAAAATAAGTACAGTAATACCTCGGTTCTGTTCGCAAACAATTCGGTTCGGCTTCTAGAGAGGCAGAGCCAACTGTCAATCAGCCAGCGGGGTGGATCTCCACAGTAGTGTCGGGATCTCTCCTGGCTGCGGCACGGCTCTGCGCTCTCAGCATATAGCAGGCAATTGCCTGCTATAGTTGTAAAAAGGTCTGCGCTCTTGGAAGACTGCTAAAATAGATTAATAAGTAGACCTAAAGCTGCTTTGAGAAAAATTATTATATGTGATTGGTGAGTCTTATCACAGTGCTATAGGTATTTAAATAAAAGCATAAGGGTGATAAAGTGTGGCCATTTGTAATATCACCCACCACTGAGATCGCTACGACATATTAGTGTTTTATTTCATTGATATTTGTCACATTGTATCACTTAAGGAACCTTATGCGCTAAAGGTTATTTTGTTAACACAGAATTGATTCCTGCCGCACTTTATCACTTTAGCAACCTTATGCTTTAAATGGTATTTATTTAACACTGAATAGGTCTCTTTGAAGACCCTTCATTGGTTTAAATACATTTTCACACTTTTTTCACTGTGAATATTATGGTTTTCACCTAATTAAATATCACATGTTTTTTTATGTTTCATCATATGGGATTTAGCTGCAACACCAAATTCGTTTTAATTATTGGCATTTAGTTTATTTAAATACCTATAGCGCTGTGATAACACTCACCAATTGCCTGCTATATACTGAGTTTTTGGTCACCGGAGGACATTAGTATATGTCCTCCTGTGACCCTGAAGAGAACTGTGGCCATAAAGGGTTAGGCCATTGTTCCCTTTTAAACATTTCTCTGTAATTCCTCGTAAAAAATAGCAGAGCACTTCCTGTGCCTAGGCACTCCTGTTCTGTATCCTCATAGCTGTATATGAACAGTGCGAGATCATGCAAGGCACCTCTGCTTCAGACTGCTGGTCTCAGATTTGAAGTGGGATTTGGTGCAGTCTCTGATATGTAATGGTGCCTAGGCACTCCTGTGTGATATCTAAAGCTGCTTCTTACTGCAAGTTTTCCAAGATTTGGTGATGTCGCTGATGATGCCGATTCCAGGTCAGCATCAGAAAGCAGTGAAGGCAAAGTTGGCCAGGAAACTAGCATTTTCAGAGGGAGGTTTCCAATGTTAGCCTCCTTATTTCTTTTATGATCGTAGTCATTACTAATTACTCAGAATGGGCCTTTATGTCTCCTGTATCAGCTGGATTTCCCTGATCTCTGGGCTCACCTCCATTACTGTGAAGCACTGCCAAGAGTCGGAACATTAAAGCTGCACACGTTGCTGCGAAGAATCCACGCCAGTAATTGCGCACGGCAAAATGCGTAGCCGTGGCCTCCACACTGAATAGGACACCTGGAAAAGAGAACAATCAGGAGGTCAGCCATTGCTTACTGCTGCGAGAAGAGACATCAAGAGAGTTTTTTATAAAGAATGGCGGATTGCGGATCCTCTGCAGGCTCATCACCAACAGATACTCATCGCAGTATTTGATGTGTTTACAAAAGTCCTTCATCTGCTGGATTCACCTGCACTTTCACTTGGATGAGCAACATTCACCTTCGTTTTCCAACAGCTGGAATTTCCACATTCCAGTAGGAAATCCGAGTCTCAATAACATTCACATTATTTATAATGCAGCCAAAGTTATATGTGCCAGCGGTTATCATTCACTACTGTCGATGGGCGAATCAGTGACTCCCTGTAGAGACTCAATTTTGCCAAATGTTTACCACGTTGCAACTAAAACCTAAAATTCAGCTACAAATCTTTGGCAAATCTCCACATTCACCCTCACTGCTCAAAAAAATACATAGCTGGCAAATCCAGTGAGGAAGTTGATTGTACCTGGATTCTCCAAAGTTTGATAATGCTATAGCCGGCCCCATACCCTGGCAGTTTCTTCTCATTCAGCCTCGTGGACTGAACAAGAATAGAATGGGATTCCTGAACGACTTGGATGTACAAATCTCTCCTGCCAGGCTATCATATCTCTGAATACTGGAACAGTAACTCGCTGATTGGCTCTTCAATGAAAGTCGATTGAAAAATTCAACTTTTGACAAATGGAGTGGTGCCAGCAGGGCCACCCACGTCTTCAATTTCAGCCAAGTCAGCAGGACTAAATTCGAGCCGTGTATGGCCAGCTTCAGAACTTATTTGTTATAAAGGATGGGGGGAATCTGAGGACATCCTGATTTGCCCACAGTTGATATTACTGGATAATATTTATCAAACTGGTGTGAAAATGTAGTACAGAGCAGATACCAGAGAATGGAAGAATGACTGGGTGGTGGCGACTGATGGGTGGGACAGGCGGCTATGTCTGGTCTGGTCCCGCCCACCTCACTGACGCCAAAGACAGCATCCCGCTCAGCTCCCTGGCAACCGATGACATCAATGAGCTGGGCGGGAAGCCAGAATGGACAGAGCCGCAGGTTACTAAGAGCTCTTAGCAACTTGGGACGCTGTGGGCGCCCCTCTGCCAACCCCCTCCCACACACACCCGCCACCCCTTTCATGAGATGCAGCCTGAGGCGACGGCCCTGGGGCTATTAAATTCTGACAGAGGTGGGTGTGCCGCTGTCAGAATACCCAAACAGTGATTGAAACTGATTGGTCGCAGTCATTCTTTGGCTAAGAATTTGCGGATCAGCTCTTTTGGCAAAATTTGATTGAAAAACTGACTTTTTTCACATTGCAAGGGTCAGCAGGATTGAGCCAAAATTAGAGCAATATATGACCAGCTTTATATGGAACATATATTAATTGTGTCTAAGCCATACCCTAGAAAATCTAACATCCTAAATTACTCCTGAAAAATAGCAGTGCCCTTCCTGGTATGTGATGGTGCCTACGCAGTCCTGTGCTTACTTCCTTATTGCTCGAGATCTGCAGTGTTTGGTCATAGGCAGTGCTACCTCTGTCTTCTAGTCTTAGGAGATTCAGAGTGTCATTTGGTGATGTCAGTTCTCTTTTCCTCACTGTTCTCCTCCTTGCTGGAGGCACTAACACAAGAAAGCAAAGCCCTGCTCTACCAAGATGGCCGCCTCCGCACAGAGACATAGAACAAGGCAGTGCTACCTCTGTTTTCTAGTCTTAGGAGATTCAGAGTGACAATTGGTGATGTCAGTTCTCTGTTCCTCACTGTTCTCCTCCTTGCTGGAGGCACTAACACGAGGAGCAAAGCCCTGCCTCTACCAAGATGGCCGCCTCCGCACAGAGACATAGAACAAGGCAAAGTAAGTCAGTAATGAGAAAAATCAGTATTGGGGAGACCGGAGACAACTCTGCAGACTAGGCCTTTGTAGGGTGCAGCTTCTGGAGTTCAGTCCCTCTTTAATAAGTTGATGGATGTATGCTGCAACTGTATACATCTGCAGCTTAAACCTTTAGGCTGGGTTCACACCTAGGCGTATCAAATATGCGCGTTTGTCGCGCGTTTCGTGACAAGCGTTTTTACCGCGATCCGCGGTAAAAAACGTGCGACAAACGCACGTTTCCGAGGGCTACCTGGCTGTATCCCAATGGAAACACGCAACAAAAACGCCCCACAGAAGCTCCTGTACTTCTTTGGGCGTAGGGCGTTTTGTAGCGCGTTCATACGGCCTGTAATACGCCCAGGTGTGAACCATACCCATAGGAAATAATGGGATTTCGGTGTTTGAGCGTTTTGCAGAGCGTTCGAACGCGCTACAAAACGCCCAGGTGTGAACCAGGCCTTAGACATAAAGCCCTCGACGTTTTATGATGACCTCTGCCAAGCACAAGTCAAGTCTTGTTAGCAGCGATCCCGTGCATGAAATGATTTCACTGGGAACTGATTAACTCATTTGATAAGTGAAATTTAAAGCGGATTGCTTCAGTTCTGAATCCCTGTCATCCCCTTCATATTATTGCCGTGTGTTCCTCAGAGCTGCAGAGGTGACAAAGTTCACCGCAGGCTCGGCCGAAGCTCATAATAAGAAAAGGAAACTGCGCACATGACTCGAGAAGTTAACTGGTAACATTTATATTAACCGAAATGACACTATAAACTGTAAACGCTCTTGCTGCATGGCTATCAATATGTCATATAAGGTTACAAAATTCCTCTGGTTAAATGATGGCAATGGTATAATAAAGATAGACTACCTACCTCCTACGGGAGCAACAAAGCAACAAGCCACACCCACCGCCGCTCCAGCAATCAACAGTTCATACTTGCGGCTCGCATTCTAGGTGACAGCGACAAAAGAAGAATCAGGAGACAGATCATTCTACAGGTACGACACCACAAAAGGTACATGCTGCAAGGCTTAAGATACGACATCAGTCTTACCTCTTTGGCTCCAACCAGCTTCACCATCACCTTCCCCAGCTGAGTTGCAAGTATGGCGGCCATATGGACAAAAGGTCCCTATTAAAACATGACAAATATACTGTCGTTATCGCAGCACCATCTCAGTCTAAAACTCTCCACCTATCCTGTACTGACCCCCCACACAGCGCTGTCACTGCACCTCCATCCTGTCCTGTGTGTATATATATATATATACTATTCCTGTACTGACCCCCCACACAGCGCTGTCACTGCACCTCCATCCTGTCCTGTTCCTTTTATATTTTCTGCATTGTGCGTTATTACTTACCACTTTCCCAAGGAATATTGTGTTTCCAGCAGCAAGTGTGCAGGTGACACCAATTAATTTGGCAATAAATGTGCGTAACGTGAAAAATTCAGCTAGGACCACTCCTCTCAATGTAACCTTGATCTCTGGAATACCAGAACCTGCAAATGTTTAAAAAGACTATTAGCTTATTTCTAACATCTCTGAAATAGAAGAGACAAATATCCCCCTGCTGTCTGTGTCACCCTGCAGGAGGAGGAGACTCATAGCTCCCTTCTGTCTGTATCACCCTGCAGGAGGAGGTCAGACTCATAGCTCCCTTCTGTCTGTATCACCCTGCAGGAGGAGGTCAGACTCATAGCTCCCTTCTGTCTGTATCACCCTGCAGGAGGAGGTCAGACTCATAGCTCCCTTCTGTCTGTATCACCCTGCAGGAGGAGGTCAGACTCATAGCTCCCTTCTGTCTGTATCACCCTGCAGGAGGAGGTCAGACTCATAGCTCCCTTCTGTCTGTATCACCCTGCAGGAGGAGGTCAGACTCATAGCTCCCTTCTGTCTGTATCACCCTGCAGGAGGAGGTCAGACTCATAGCTCCCTTCTGTCTGTATCACCCTGCAGGAGGAGGTCAGACTCATAGCTCCCTTCTGTCTGTATCACCCTGCAGGAGGAGGTCAGACTCATAGCTCCCTTCTGTCTGTATCACCCTGCAGGAGGAGGTCAGACTCATAGCTCCCTTCTGTCTGTATCACCCTGCAGGAGGAGGTCAGACTCATAGCTCCCTTCTGTCTGTATCACCCTGCAGGAGGAGGTCAGACTCATAGCTCCCTTCTGTCTGTATCACCCTGCAGGAGGAGGTCAGACTCATAGCTCCCTTCTGTCTGTATCACCCTGCAGGAGGAGGTCAGACTCATAGCTCCCTTCTGTCTGTATCACCCTGCAGGAGGAGGTCAGACTCATAGCTCCCTTCTGTCTGTATCACCCTGCAGGAGGAGGTCAGACTCATAGCTCCCTTCTGTCTGTATCACCCTGCAGGAGGAGGTCAGACTCATAGCTCCCTTCTGTCTGTATCACCCTGCAGGAGGAGGTCAGACTCATAGCTCCCTTCTGTCTGTATCACCCTGCAGGAGGAGGTCAGACTCATAGCTCCCTTCTGTCTGTATCACCCTGCAGGAGGAGGTCAGACTCATAGCTCCCTTCTGTCTGTATCACCCTGCAGGAGGAGGTCAGACTCATAGCTCCCTTCTGTCTGTATCACCCTGCAGGAGGAGGTCAGACTCATAGCTCCCTTCTGTCTGTATCACCCTGCAGGAGGAGGTCAGACTCATAGCTCCCTTCTGTCTGTATCACCCTGCAGGAGGAGGTCAGACTCATAGCTCCCTTCTGTCTGTATCACCCTGCAGGAGGAGGTCAGACTCATAGCTCCCTTCTGTCTGTATCACCCTGCAGGAGGAGGTCAGACTCATAGCTCCCTTCTGTCTGTATCACCCTGCAGGAGGAGGTCAGACTCATAGCTCCCTTCTGTCTGTATCACCCTGCAGGAGGAGGTCAGACTCATAGCTCCCTTCTGTCTGTATCACCCTGCAGGAGGAGGTCAGACTCATAGCTCCCTTCTGTCTGTATCACCCTGCAGGAGGAGGTCAGACTCATAGCTCCCTTCTGTCTGTATCACCCTGCAGGAGGAGGTCAGACTCATAGCTCCCTTCTGTCTGTATCACCCTGCAGGAGGAGGTCAGACTCATAGCTCCCTTCTGTCTGTATCACCCTGCAGGAGGAGGTCAGACTCATAGCTCCCTTCTGTCTGTATCACCCTGCAGGAGGAGGTCAGACTCATAGCTCCCTTCTGTCTGTATCACCCTGCAGGAGGAGGTCAGACTCATAGCTCCCTTCTGTCTGTATCACCCTGCAGGAGGAGGTCAGACTCATAGCTCCCTTCTGTCTGTATCACCCTGCAGGAGGAGGTCAGACTCATAGCTCCCTTCTGTCTGTATCACCCTGCAGGAGGAGGTCAGACTCATAGCTCCCTTCTGTCTGTATCACCCTGCAGGAGGAGGTCAGACTCATAGCTCCCTTCTGTCTGTATCACCCTGCAGGAGGAGGTCAGACTCATAGCTCCCTTCTGTCTGTATCACCCTGCAGGAGGAGGTCAGACTCATAGCTCCCTTCTGTCTGTATCACCCTGCAGGAGGAGGTCAGACTCATAGCTCCCTTCTGTCTGTATCACCCTGCAGGAGGAGGTCAGACTCATAGCTCCCTTCTGTCTGTATCACCCTGCAGGAGGAGGTCAGACTCATAGCTCCCTTCTGTCTGTATCACCCTGCAGGAGGAGGTCAGACTCATAGCTCCCTTCTGTCTGTATCACCCTGCAGGAGGAGGTCAGACTCATAGCTCCCTTCTGTCTGTATCACCCTGCAGGAGGAGGTCAGACTCATAGCTCCCTTCTGTCTGTATCACCCTGCAGGAGGAGGTCAGACTCATAGCTCCCTTCTGTCTGTATCACCCTGCAGGAGGAGGTCAGACTCATAGCTCCCTTCTGTCTGTATCACCCTGCAGGAGGAGGTCAGACTCATAGCTCCCTTCTGTCTGTATCACCCTGCAGGAGGAGGACAGCCTCATAGCTCCCTTCTGTCTGTGTCACCCTGCAGGAGGAGGACAGACTCATAGCTCCCTTCTGTCTGTGTCACCCTGCAGTCCTCTTCTGTCTTGGGGCAGACACATAGCTCTTTTCTGAGAAGTTCATAGTGACTGGAAAACGTACCTGCCGCCTGAGGAGAGATATATTTGGCCACTCCCGCTGATATACACATGAGTAGAACATGATAAAGGATCCAGGAGAAGTACTGCAAATAGCGGTATTGGTCGAGGGCATCGTACACCCACAGGTTGTCTGTGTATGGAAAAGAGAATGAGACATTTCTAATCTAAATCTTCAGTTTAAATTTTTATGTATATCCGTGGACGTTATAATGCAGCGGTCGCCAAGCGGTGGTCCGCGATAAAATGTTGGTGGTCCCCGGGCCCCCTCTGATGCCGTGCAGGCTGGGCTGTCATTGAAGCGGCACGGAGGCTCTGGGGCTGCCTCTCACTGACTCGAGCAGCGGCTGTCACAAGGAATGCGCCGCTCTCGGTATATTCTGGGCCGGGGTGGGCGGCACCGCTCCCTCCCTCCACCAGCACTGCCACTCCTGCAGGCACACCCGCACCTATGTATGTATATATAGATATATTCTCATATTTTTTGTTTCCTCATATATAAATATATTCTCGTGTGTGTGTATATATATATTTTTTTACAAAATTCCTATTAGTGGTCCTCGGGATTTAAAATGATGAATTTAGCGGTCCATGAGGTCTGAAAGGTTGGCGACCGCTGGTCTAATGTACATTCAGAATGTAAATAATTAAAATGTTGTATTGTTTTACAGACCTGGAATTCAGATTGATTAAAACTGTTAGTGATTCATTGACATTGAAATAACACTACGCACAAAATATTATTGATTCTGACCAAGGAATCTTATTGGGCTCAGTCCTGAGCTAAGACCTTCTTACCGGATACGCTTATTGTCTGCTTCCAGACCGCTTTGAGTTGTACAGCTTGCTTCAGATGTTTATAGTAGAGGAACTACAAGACACCACCTCCTCGAACCTCCTGCTGCTGCACAGGTTTATACCTGCCCAGTTCTCTGCTTTTGCTGTCCCACTTCCTGGTTGGATGACGACCAGCTTTAGCCAACATGTTGCTCTCAGCCCTAGATGCCATACACATGCCTTCTGTAATCCCATGGACTACAGTCAATGCGTCATCCAGGGCTGTCTTTCAGAAACACCGCTGCACATGCCCACTCACTCCTCTCCCTTGGCTCTCTCTCAGCATTGTCATTGTATGCAGGGAAATTCATTAGACAGCACTGCAGGTCCAAACTTGAAGGCATGGAAGCACATTTCAAGGCCTCCCACACAGCCACATAGGAGAATGGAAAAGATAATGGTAGCCCTCTACATTGAGTACAGTCTTTGGCCAATTTTATTGGTAGGGCAATCATGCCTGCAGTACCACATGCATAGTGTGATACAATTCTGGCATACATTCCAGTGCACCCTAAGGGCTGTGGGGTAACCAAGTGATTCTTTAAGCTATCCAGCGAGCTAATATCCTTGTGTCATCGCTTTTCCACTGGCCACGCACATCCACAAACAGTAGACACACATCTCAGGGTAGCTTGCCACCACATGCAGTTTGCCAACTCATAGGCAGCCATATACACACACTGACACATAGATCCCTGTCTGGTAGGTACGATAGTTTCCGCATGCTGAGATTAATCTTAATCTACATGCAATCAGCAGCCACATTTATAACATATAAAGCATTGGGAAGGTCTGCAGGGAGGGTGAAGGAGGAATCCTGGAGTTGGAATACAACTGTTCGAGCCTTATTTTCTGAACTGCCAGTTTGGTTCGACCTTCTCTTGCTATCCCTTCGCATTACGGCCATCGGATGGAAATGAGAATAGGAATTTCCTATAGGAACCCGGAAGTCGGCAGCCGCCGGAGGACACAGCGGGGATCGCGGACAAGGTAAAACCTGTACGCTGTATTCCCGAGGGTGGCTCCGGGGGGGGGGGGGGGGTTACCGCTTTGTTAACCCCGATCCACACTCGGGAATACCAATGGAAACGCGCGGCAAAACGCCCCAAAGAAGCTCCTGTACTTGGGCGTAGGGCGTTTTGCAGCGCGTTCCCACGCGCTGAAATACGCCCAGGTGGGAACCATGCCCATAGGCAATCATTGGTTTTCACATGTTGAGCGTTGTACAGCGCGTAGGAACGCCCAGGTGTGAACCAGGCCTAAGTGTTAAAGTTGTCAGATTAGATTCAAGGTAACTGTACAAAGTCACTTAATCTTAAAATTGCACCTTTAAAAAAAATTAAGTTACGTGCCCCCATGTGATGCTATTAATGGTGTTAGAAGTTCTCTATGGAGACATAAGGGTCTATTAGACCCCCGATGTCTTCCCTGCCAAGCAAAACAAATAGTCCTCTATCTGCTGCTCTCCAGGCCACAGCCGACCAGGATCTGACAGCTGTATTCCTGAAAGCTCCCAGAGCAGAGCGCCTCTGGATTCACTATACGAAGTTTATGTGATGCTGGCTCCTATATAAGTAAAATTTTACAGTCTCCACCATCAATTCTAGATTAAAGCCCCGAGCACGCTGGGCAATTTTGGCCAAAGAATAGACAAGTGTTCTGATTTGGGTCGCTGGTCTGGCATCCTGGACACTCGTTTATCTTTTTATATCACAGTCTGGTGTCCCGTAACTTTTTGCCATTTCTGTGAGCAGTTGATGAAGGGGGAATTCTGAGCCCCCGGAAGGTGTTGGTTGTCTCTTTTTTCACCTTTTAGAAGAAACATGGAGATCACCAACACACCGAGGTCCACATTATCAATCCGTCCTTTACTGACGTTCAGATAAGCATGGTGTCACAGAATGTATAAGCGTTTTGGAGTCACAGAATGAGCGTTTTAGAACCTAAATGTGGCCTCTTCATCAGGCAAAACAATGTCACCTGACGTGCAATAAAGACTTACTGTACTCATATTTGACTTGGTGCGATCATCCCTACAAACGTCTGACTACTCTGGGGACTAATAGGGACACCTTGGGTGGCAGACATCTGCCTCTTTGGATCTCAAGCTGTCACGGATCGGGGCTCACGGGTATGTGGTATGGTCAGGTATGTGGACCCGTTCCACTACACTGCCAGGGACACTTAGAGAAAAGGGTGCGAGCAGTGTAGGCTGACGACTCCCAGAGCTGGAGTACAAGCAGGGAACAGAGCAGGGGAACTGAATGAGGCAGTGGAAGTCAGCTTAAGCTGGAAGTTCAAAATACAAGGACAAGTGCTGCAATGCTGACTAGGTGGCATGGGGGCCCCCAGGATGTGGAATCTAAGAGCCAGCCGTTATTCACCAGAGCTCCTGATGGTGAAGATGGGCTTGGCTGCGTGCTGACCCCAGGCCACAATCCCTAGGTCCACCCAACTCAAGTGAAGCACAGGGCAGCCAGTAGACAGGGATTTCCAAGGAAAAGCCAGAGGTTCGGTACATGAGAAAACTTCCAGGAATTCAGGGTAAATCACAAACAGGGGCCTCAGCGACTAGCTTGGGAAAGCGTTGCTCGGGCAGCATGCCGTTCGCTGGCCTGAGTTTAAATAGAGACAGGAAGAGGGAGGATCCACAGGATTGGCCACAAGCAGACTGCACTGATTGGCCCGAGAAGCTGCATAAGAAACAGCAGGAGAGGTCGGCCGACGTCTAAAGCTTGCAGACTGGTGCAAGAGTGGGTTAGGTTCAGAGCACATGTCAGGAGGACTACAACCCCCAGCACAGCAAGCCTGCAGAACCAGGGGTAAGAGATATGTATATACTTGTAGAACTACAAGTAACAGTTCAGCTGCAAGTCTGCTGCTGAACTGTGACACAAGCCCTATTTATTTATTATTGGGATTTATCGGGGATGCACCGATACAGATACTAGTACTGAGTACTCTTACTCGCCCAAATGCTCCGGTACTTATCCCCGATACTGGAACTTCTGGTCAGGGGGCCATTTCCTCTGACCACCAGTGCCACGAGGGAACATAGAGCTGCCTTCCAATCATGAAGCCGGGCCGCGGGTAATGACTCGGGGCCCAGCTTCCTGATTGGCCAGGAAGCCGACTCCATGCTGTTTGGCCAGCTCCATGCTGGGAGGCCAGCTTCCTAGCCAATCATCATGGTGCTGGCCAATCAGCATAGAGCCGGCTTCCCGGCCAATCAGCATGGAGCTGGCCAAACAACATGTAGTCGGCTTCCTGGCCAATCAGGAAGCTGGGCCCCGAGTCATTACCCGCGGCCTGACTTTGTGATTGGAAAGCAGCTCCATGTTCCCTCGCGGCACTGCTGGTCAGAGGCAATGTCCCTCTGATTGGCCCGGGAGGCCATCTTCCTAGCCAATCAGCATGGTGCCCGACCAATCAGGAAGCCAGGCAGCGGGTAATCGCCCACATTCCTGATTGGCCAAGAAGCCGCCTCCATTCTAATCCCAATCAGCATGGAGCCGGCTTCCCGACCAATCAGGAAGCCAGGCAGCGGGTAATGGCCCACCTTCCTGATTGGCCAAGAAGCCGGCTCCATTCTAATTGGCTTGGATGCCAGCTTCCCGGCCAACCAGCATCAAGCCGTCCAAAGACCCTTCCCGGTCAATCAGCCTGGAGCTGGCTTCCCAGGGCAATCAAGCCGGGCAGCGGGTAAGGAATTCCCTGATTGCCCGTGAAGCCGGCTTCATGCTACCAGAAGTACTGGTATCGGTACTCGGTGTCGGCGAGTACTGAAATATAAATATCAGTACTTGATACCAAAAACCGGTAGTGGTGCATCGCTGTTATTTATACAGCGCCGACAATTTACATAGTTGCACATTCACATCAGTCCCTGCCCTCAAGGAGCTTACAATCTATGGTCCCTATCTCACATACAGGGCCAGCTCGGAAAGGAGCCAATGTCTTTGGAGTGTGGGAGGATGCTGGAGTACCCAGAGCAAACCCACGGAGAACACACAAGCTCCTTGCAGATAGTGACCTGGCTGGGATTGGAACCAGGGACACCCCAGTGTTGGGAGGCAGAAGTGCTAACCACTATGCCACAATTGTATGGGGAAAAAAGGGATGAAGAAAATTATTTTTGGAAAATGTTACAATAACAGCTTCAGAATGATAATTCAATAAAATAAATGATCTTTTAATAATATGATGCAGCATAATAATCAGAAAAAGTGCGCTGTAATCGTGGCCAGAGGCCGGCTCATTAGTAAGGGCGACACTGATACTCACATCGCTGTAGCTTGGCAACGACGACATCCAGACCGAAGCTGAGTGAAGCCATACTAATCCCCAACAAGAACAGGAAGATCCAGTCCTCACCAAATCGCTTCAGTCCGTAACGCAAAGTCCGGCCCACAGCTGTGATAAATCAATGAATACAAAGACACAATCAGTACATCCAGGTAGCACGTTGATCTATTCTAAAACTGAATCCTGAACTCCGGCCTTCCCTTCAGTCTTGCACAGTTGTACCAGCTCCTCTCCTGGACTGAAAGTGCTTCCTCTGATTTCAGGTTAAGGCTGGGTTCACACCTAGGCGTATCAAATATGCGCGTTTGTCGCGCGTTTCGTGGCGTGCGAATCGCTGTAAAAAAAAACGCGCGACAAACGCGTGTTTCCGAGGGCTACCTGGCTGTATCCCAATGGATACGCGCGGCAAATACGCCCCAAAGAAGCTCCTGTACTTCTTTGGGCGTAGGGCGTTTTGCAGCGCGTTCCTGCGCGTTGTAAAACGCCCAGGTGGGAACCATGCCCATAGGCAATCATTGGCTTTCACATGTTGAGCGTTTTACAGAGCGTAGGAACGCGCTGTAAAACGCCCAGGTGTGAACCAGGCCTTAGGGAAGCGGTTGTCCTTCTCTGCAGCATGCTGGCAGGGGATGGGCTTTTCTACTCAGGCTGTGGCTGCTTTAGAAAGAAAACCTATTCTCAGACTTTGTACACCTTCTGTTTTCATGAACCCGGAATGTATTTTGCTTATTTCAGCTGAAAGTTCTATTGGTCTAGCCTAGGCAAGAAATGTTAAACCCGAGCCAATGTTTGTACATATAATTTAGGTCAATCTTCACAACAGGGACACGAGCACTTGTAAAATCTGACAAGGATCTATCTTTTCACCACTCTGTTCAAACAAGTAAATGAGCAGACTTCAGTCCCTTCATCTCTAACTTTACATTTGTCTGGTGTGTTAATGCACCTCGGCATGGCTAAAACTACACCTGGCCCTATTTAGGGAATGCATTGCCCTGCATGCGGTGCACAGGTTCATCACCTTGGTGGATTGGGGTGCCAGCGCACCCACACTCATTCGTTTTTATTGTAGTTAAAGTGGACTTTTACCCCCTTTGACCAAATCAGATCAGCACTCAGCTCTGCATGCTGATATGAAATCATCTCACATTCATTGATTAAACAAACATATTTTCCTTTTACTTACAATTAATTTTTTTCCACTTCCTGGTCCACTTTGGCACAAACTATATGTGATCATACCCAAGCATTGCATCCTGGGAAGGTTACATCAGCAGAGCATTGCTGGGAAATCTCATCTGTAATCTCACAAGATCTCAGGGAAAGGCATTTTCCTCCCCTGAGATGATGCGCATGGTCACATGTGCCAGAGATTCAGGAAGTACAGGTAGAGCTAGTAACCTGCCCTTGGTTAAAATGGCCACTGTGAGAGGACTGGGGTAGAAAAGAAAAATAAGGTATGCATAAAAATAAAAAGCCGGTATTATCTCAAAGTATCTGATTGTAGATTGTCATCACTCAACATTTATAAAGTTGCCTTTGTTGTTATTTTGAAGATTTGGGTAAAGTTCCTCTTTAAGCTTTCTAAGTTTAGGTCTAAGCTCCACTCCAGACATGCAGCTCAAACTACACTCAAAGTACCTATATAGGGACTGTGCAATTTCTTATTCACAGATACTTCTGCCAAACAGTAGACTTAGCTCTTTTTAAGCACTTGCCGTCCATGACCGTTCCTGAACGGCCGGACGGGAGCCTTATAGGAGCGTCTTAAGACGTCCTGCCCCTCCCCCCTGTCGTACGCGCCATTCAGCGAGCACACGAGTGGGGAACTGTTAGCAATGTAAACAGCCAGCGATGGCTGTTTACATTCAAGCGATCAGGCGTTTCTCGATCGCATGCAGTAGCTGCGGGTGTGCGCCCCCCGGCACCTCCGTCGCCACCACCTCCTCGCTGCCGGTCCTGAGATCCGCTGTGCCCGTTGCGGCTGCGACCGGCACGGCGACGCGGTCAGTGGAGATCAAAAGGGAGATGAGTACACGATCTCCCTTTGATCTCTTCTCGGTCCCCGAATGCAGTGAGTGATGTATGTTACATCACTTCCTGCGTTCAGTGTCACTCTCCAGCTACAGATGCCGGTGAGAAGCTTATGAAGCAGATCTCTGCTACATCAGCTTCTCTGGGGGTCCATAGGTGACATTAGGGGTAATAGAGACCCCTGATGTCTCCATAAAGAGGACCTGGCATGTAAATTGGCTATCACATAGGGGATTTCTTATCCCCTATGTGATAGCAATAAAGTTAAGTGTAAAAAACAAAAGTTTAAATAAAATGAATGCATAAAAAAAGTCACAAATAAAAAGAAATGTAAAATAACAAAACATTTTTTAAAGTCCCCCCCCCACAAACACACGTGGGTGCGCCTATGTGCGAAAACGATGATTGTGCCCATTACGCCGCACATGTAACATTGCCGCAAACGTCGCAGTGAGAGCAATAATTTTAGGGCCATCAATCACTGATAACACTAAAACGATGAGCGGTAAGAGCTTTTAAAGCGTCGCCTATGGCCAATTTTGGGTGTGGTCGTTTTCTGCGATTTCGTGGACGCGCGCAATTTCAAGGCTTAACATGTTTGGTGTCTATTTACCCGACGTGACCCCGACTTTTATATTTTACCAAAAAACTGGGTGATAACAAATGTTTTATAAGAGTACTTTTTTTGTTATATAGTAAAAAATAAAAATAAAACCCGTAGTGGTGATTAAATACCATTAAAAAGAAAGCTCTACGTGCCCCCAAAAAATGATATAAAATGTGTTTCAGTACAGCGTCGCGTGACGGAATAAATGTCAGTCAAAGTACCTCAGCGCTGAATACTGAAAAATGGCCGGGACAGGAAGGGGGTTTAACGCCGCCGACTTCAAGGGGGTTAACCCCCACTTCAGTGGAGCTTCATCAAGAGCACACGCTCAGCATGCTGACTGGACAGTGAAAGAGAAGCTGCGCACTTATGAGTCGCATCATCACGGTGCCCATCAAGCTCTCTCTTCCATCATCATATTCACTGTCAACACATGTGCGTTGCAACATAGCCTGATTGCCCCCCGGTGCCGTCCCTCCCCAGTCTGAGTGAGGATCTTCAGAGACTAAAGGTGCCCATACACTGCTCGATTCTCGTACGATCGCAGGATTTCGCCCGATTCTCGTACGAGAATCGGGCGAAATCCTGCGATCGTACGAGAATCGAGCAGTGTGAACTAAGACGTGCGACCGTTTCTACTGTACGGTCGCACGTCTTTTGTCGAGCCAACATGCTTGAAAACCAGCCGAGAATCGTACGATTCTCGGCTGGTTTTCAAGCATGTTGGCTCGACAAAAGACGTGCGACCGTACAGTAGAAACGGTCGCACGTCTTAGTTCACACTGCTCGATTCTCGTACGAGAATCGAGCAGTGTATGGGCACCTTTATATAAAGACAGAATTATGTACTTGATCTAATTACATTTCAACATTTTCTGTAATAAATATCTGATGTTGTATATTATTATAGAGGATTTATATATCGCCAATAGTTTACATAGCGCTTTACAATATGAGGGAGACATTACAATCACAATACAATTCAAGACAAGATGGTAAGGAGGGCCCCGCCCCTGAGGGCTTACAATCTGAGTTATAATAATAACTGAATTATCCTTAGACTAGCAATTACAAGCTAAGCTCATGAACTGTCTGTCTATTTATAGACTAAAGCTCGGTACCGTACACCGGTGAAACCCCCGGGCTGGACAAAGTTTGGGAAAACTACCAAACAAATAAATGATAAGGGGCTTTAAATAGCACTCGGAGCTACATTTAAGCTTTGATAAGAACGCACATATTTTATTTCAACATTAAAAACACTGACCCTGTATACGACACCATTGGGATTGGCAGTAAATTACCGGTGTCAGGAAGTCCTCCTGTACTGATAGAAGGACAGAACATTGTTAGCCAATCAGCTACAGTCTCTGTTTGGGCATTGCGACAGCCAGTTCTCAGAATACTCTAGTCTAGCTGACGGAAGATTCCTCCATCCACGCTGCTTAGCAGGACTGAACAAGAGAAATCTAGCTATGGCAAGCTTCAGCGACTTGTTGCCCCACCACGGCTGGTTCCTCTCTTACGGTTCTGATGTAAAATGAGGGGGGGGGGGGGGTATTTGGGCCATGATAAGCAATCCATTTTATGGGTTCTTATAGGGCAGGACTGAGGCTGAAATACGACGAGTGTTAAGGTGACCATACACTGCACGCTTCTCGTACGAGAATCACGGGGCATCCCGCGATCGTATGATCGTGCAGTGTATGGAAAGCTTGCGACCGTTTCTACTTCCGTTTCTAAGTCTTCCGTCGAACCAGAATTAACCGGAGTTAGTGGCCTGCTGGTTCGACAACTGCCGAACGGGCCGGTGTGCGCACGCGCACACTGCCCGTTTGCAGTCATCGTAAGCCACCCCTCATTACAGGGGCGGGCAAGTACGATCTGCCTGTCCAAGATGGGAAGATCGTACGTTTTTTAAAGTACTTTACAACCCTCGCAAGACGAAAGTCTTGCGAGGGTTGTAAAGTGTATGGACACGTTTAGATGTTCTCCTACATCCACCATCTTAGGACATGTGGCCTCATACGTTCTCCGCTGCTGGGCATGAGCCCCAAGCTAATGAGTTTGCGGGGACAATGGTTCCAGTGACAACAAGGGGATTTCCAGTCATTGTAGACACATTGAATCACTTTCAGACGTGTCTCGTGATGAGAGGTTGTTCTGGTTTAGTGATGTTATTCCAGACACAAACGGATGCCCTGACCGGTAGATTTATTATCTCCAACTCTGTACAGGGTCAGTCATTACATTTTCAACTTGATAAGTTTTTTATGTCTCTCGTATACCTGCTGAATGTCAATATAACACATCTCGTGGCCAATGACACAGCCTGTGACCATTACCTCATGGTCCTATGATCTCACCAACACCTTTATGGCAGCAATGCTAAGCCCTGGCGGTCAGCTGGGCTATCATACTCCTTAGATTGTGCTTTGCTTCCATTCGCAGCAGCGGAGAATATATGAGGCTGCATTTACTTGGTAGGTGGTAGATGCCGTACCCATGTTTATTTCAGTCTCGTTCTGACCCTCTCCTGTTGGAGGAACGCACTAGTTGAACCCAAATAGCAGATGGCTTAGCATTGCCTGATTGACGGATGCAATGCCGGGTCATCATAACATGATGCAGGTCAGAAGCAGAATTGCATATTGGGATGATTGGTTCATTACAGTCTTTGAGACCAAGCAGGCACTTGTTAGTCCCTGACAATGTGTGGCAAGTATTGCCTATTAGCATGAAGCTACAAGCAGGAATGACATAGATAACAGCGCTGCCCACAGATCTGACTGCGGTACAATCCTTTTGCAGGACAGTTGTGACATAAACATACAATAAACTCTCAGCTGGGAGCGAGGAACACAAACCGATAAGATCTAATGTGATCAAGCAGTTCTTTCCTTTTCATACACTTAGATGACCATACACATACATGTTCATACACTTAGATGACCATACACGTAGATGATCATGCATATAGAGTTCAATACATTTAGTCGACCATACACATAGATGACCATACATGTAGATGACCAAAAATATACATGATCATACACATAGATGACCGTACACGTCGATGACCATACACATAGAGGATCGTTCACATAGATGACCATACATGTAGATGACCATACACATAGAGGATCGTTCACAAAGATGACCATACATGTAGATGACTGTACACATAGATGGCCATATATTTAGATGACCATACATAAAGATGATCATAGATGTAGATGACCGTACACATAGATGAACATACATAAAGATGATCATACATGTAAATGACCATATATGCAGATGACCATACATGTAGATGGCCGTACACATAGATGACCATATATGTAGATGACCGTACACATAGATGACCATATATGAAGATGATCATACATGTAGATGACTGTACACATAGATGACCATACATGTAGATGACCGTACACATAGATGACCATATATGAAGATGATCATACATGTAGATGACTGTACACATAGATGACCAAACAAATAGAGGATCGTGCACATAGATGACCATACACGTAGATGACCATACACATAGAGGATCGTTCACAAAGATGACCATACATGTAGATGACTGTACACATAGATGGCCATATATTTAGATGACCATACATAAAGATGATCATAGATGTAGATGACCGTACACATAGATGAACATACATAAAGATGATCATACATGTAAATGACCATATATGCAGATGACCATACATGTAGATGACCGTACACATAGATGACCATATATGAAGATGATCATACATGTAGATGACTGTACACATAGATGACCATACATGTAGATGACCGTACACATAGATGACCATATATGAAGATGATCATACATGTAGATGACTGTACACATAGATGACCAAACAAATAGAGGATCGTGCACATAGATGACCATGCATGTAGATGACAAAACGTATACATGATCATACATGTTGATGACCGTACACATAGATGATCATACATGTAAATGACCACACACGTAGATGACAATACACGGCATTGAAGTTAAAATTGTTCAAGAACCAACTGAGTTGATCAAACAGAAAGTCTCTGGTCTGCGGTTTTGAAGGATCATATTGATGTGTGTGGCCACCATTACACGGTACTCAGAAATACAACTTTAATGATCCGCATGGGGCGCCATCATCTCATTCCATCCTTTACCATGTATCATTACCCCAAACCATCATCTCTACACACCGTCTGTGCAACTTTATACTGGTTCTTTGTCCTTTTGTGTTGGTTTTCTATATCTTGGGAATTCTTAAGCCCCGTCAGCACCACCTGTAATATTCTTCTGCTCAAAGTACAGATTTATCATTGTGACCTGAAATTTCCCAGAAATGATGATTGTTGACCTCATCCTATGGAGTGTATGTTGTATGATACGTAGGCTTGACTTGGAATTTTTCGCCTCATACACTTCTTGAACCGCGACCACAGCAGGAGAAGCGTGCTTTGGTTCTCCTTCTCTTTCGGGTTGTAGGAATAGGCCTCGCTCTCGGTCATCTCGCTCTCGGCATTACTCTCCCCCCTCTTCTCCTTCCTCTCCGGCAACTCCATCACCTCTGACTTCTGCTGAATCCCATTGGGCTCCTCCACCTTGACTTCAGCCATTGTGTCCGTACAACAATCTGGCATGTGGCTCTGCTCATCCTTCATGTCCTTTATATACATAGATATCCAGAGTGCGGCCACACCTGCCAGCCCGGCCCAGCACAGTCCAGGAATGAGAGACACGGAGTGTGTGTGCAATCACAACACTGATTGTTTAGTGATCAGTGTGTGCATGGGGGGGGGGGGGTGTCTTGGGAGATAAGAACTGAACTGGAAGAGAGAATTCCAGCAATAGCTGTACAGGTGTATGCGCATTGCCACATGTCCTCTCAGGACATTTACAGGGAATTCATTTTTTGTGTTCAAGATTGGTTCAATGTAACTCTTGTGTTTATGGTTCATAAAGCTTGTTTTTCTGTTTCCATGCTAGTTATACATATACAGCTTTATTTGCTCGTGAAATATGTTGTGCTTAGCAATACTACGTTTGAGCTTAACTGTTCCTCCGTCTTGGTGTAAGTCTGCAAGTCTGTGATAACAATAGACTGCAAGTGTGCTTCTTTAGTTTAATATCTGTCCAGATCTATAATTGCTGATATACAGAGAGCTGCGAGAGTAGTGGTGCTCAGAGACAGGAGTACAGGAGATGGTCAGGGACTGAGACATGGTACAGGAGATGGTCAGGGACTGAGACATGGTACAGGAGATGGTCAGGCACTGAGACATGGTACAGGAGATGGTCAGGGACTGAGACATGGTACAGGAGATGGTCAGGGACTGAGACATGGTACAGGAGATGGTCGGGGACTGAGGCATGGTACAGGAGATGGTCAGGGACTGCAGACATGGCACAGGAGATGGTCAGGCACTGAGACATGGTACAGGAGATGGTCAGGGACTGAGACATGGTACAGGAGATGGTCAGGTACTGAGACATGGTACAGGAGATGGTCAGGGACTGAGACATGGTACAGGAGATGGTCAGGGACTGAGACATGGTACAGGAGATGGTCAGGGACTGAGACATGGTACAGGAGAAGGTCAGGGACTGAGGCATGGTACAGGAGATGGTCAGGGACTGTAGACATGGCACAGGAGATGGTCAGGCACTGAAACATGGTACAGGAGATGGTCAGGCACTGAGACATGGTACAGGAGATGGTCAGGGACTGAGGCATGGTACAGGAGATGGTCAGGCACTGAGACATGGTACAGGAGATGGTCAGGGACTGAGACATGGTACAGGAGATGGTCAGGGACTGAGACATGGTACAGGAGATGGTCAGGGACTGAGACATGGTACAGGAGATGGTCAGGGACTGAGACATGGTACAGGAGATGGTCAGGGACTGCAGATATACAGAGTGGAAAATAATGAGAATATCCACTAAAAGTCCAAAAAAAAAACACCACATGATACAAATGTTTTACATTGAATTGCAGTTCAGCGAGTAAAATAAGTATTTGATTCCCTACCAACCAACAATAATTCTGGCTCCTCCCACAGACTGGCTATGTGGGACACAGATGAGTCCTGTCACTTTAAAGGTGCCCATACACCTTGCGATTATCATACTTTATCGTACTGGACTTGTACATAGAAGCCATGTAAATAGGACCACCCTCCTTGGACGCATTTCACCTGGACAGGACTTAATCATAGAGGTGACAGAACAAAGCTCCATCCACATCGTCACCATCTTCACTTCTGGGTTCCTGTCCCTTGCCACTTGTGATGTGAGCCCCCTATCAGACCTGAGCGTTGTGTTCCATATTTTCCGAAGAGTGACAACGCTCTTCATGAAGAATCCCTTTACTTTCAATTGTGCCTGTTAGTGCCGCTGGTGTCTTGTAGCTTGAGGCTAAGAAAGTACATGCGCTTGAGTAAATGGAAACGTTTGGAAAACGCAAGTAAAGCGCAACTTTGCTTCTGGCAACTGTGACCCATGACGTGGTCACACATTTTAACGTAATCTCGCCCAGTTTTTCGGCGTTGGAATGTGTGACCGCCAATAGGTGAAGCATTCCAGCGCTTTCCCAGCTGTTCCAGGGCAGATCGGCATCGCAGATGGTATGTGCAGGAGAACCGGTCTGCCCTGGAACAGCTGATCGGTCCTGAAATGTCACTTCTATCCGACTTTGTGAGTGCGGTGGAATGTGAGATCGCAGTCGGAGAGAAATTACATTTCAGGACCAATCAGCTGTTCCAGGACAGATCGGTTCTCCTGCACATACCATCTGCGATGCCGATCTGCCCTGGAACAGCTGACAAAGAGTTGGAATGCTTGATCCATTGGCGGTCACACATTCCACCGCGAAAAACTGGGCGGGATTACTTCACCGGTCAAACATTCTAACGTAGTCACAACCTTTGATAGAACACCGCCATCAGGGGGGGTGTAAAGCTGTTACCCATGTGAGGGGTCTGGGCAGCCTGGGGGGCCTCTTACATGGGTATCAGCTGTACCAGGGGCGGCATGGCAGAGGTGACGGGGAGGAGGTGGAGGAGGCCGGGCCCCAGCAGCAGCAGGTAAGATGAGTTGGGAGGAGGTACAGGGAAAGGGACCCCAAGGACCAGCCCACCTGGGACCCTGCAGAGCCCACCATAGAGAGTCTCAGGTAAGTCCAGCATGCTACTGCAACATTAGAGACTGCGGGGGGTCAGTGTGATCCACTCCCCCCCCTCCCCCAACCACCCTCCGTCTTGGGAGGGGGACCCAAGATAAAATCTTGCACCAGGGCCCTTATTAGGTCCGCCACTGGTTACGGGCAGCTTACACCAGACAGAAATAATACTAAGAGACAGAGGAAGGGTATACAAAGTCTCTTCTGCTAAAGGTAAAATTCCGCTTTAAGCAATGCAGTTCAGTCATGTGATCAGCATCCAGGTTGTAATGAAGAGCAATGCCTAAGGACGATCTAAGAATTATTTATATTTCCTGCATACAAAGTTCGCTGGAAGTTACAGCCGCAATTAACCAGTTCTGTCAATATTTTTTTATTAGCCGTTTGTTTTTTTAGCACCGTGACATATGTACATCTCATAATGTTACATGACCATTCCTCTACAGTGTGCAACACCGTCACTTACTCACATACAAGGAGCCTTGCAGTTTATGAGTGCACAGGGTCTGCAGATGTACATGTCCTCTTCTAGGCAAACAGACATTTTTACAAGGCTTGGTTTATATGGAATTGACCAACTTACCACGCTCAAGGTAGTTTGCATGGTGAGAAATTTCCCAGCATGCACTGTAGGCCCATGGCTGTTTCTGGCTGGTCACATGCAGTCTAGGTAATAGTTCTTGCAGGGGCATTTCATGTATTCTGGCTTTGCTGGGGTTCCAAGGCTCCCATTCTCTGCCTGTGCCTGTAGAGGCCAGCCGGACGGAGCTCGGCCATGCTCCAAATATCCCAGTTAATTGAAAAACACCGAGGATATGTCAACATTACGGGCTTGTTCACACGATGTCCGGACCAGATCTGGAGCAGATCTGCAGATGCGGCGCTATGCGTTTTTGACGCGTTTTGCGTTTCCGGACCGGACAGAATGTGACATGCAGTATTTTCTCTGTCCGTACCGGAACGGACTGCGCTCGTGAGAAGTGTAGCCCATAAAACACATAGGTATACATTGGGATGCATTTTGGGTGCATGAGCGCACGGATCTGGTCCGGACAGAATCCGGACGTCGTGTGAACAAGTCCTTAAACGTTATAGTACTGAACTTGTACACAGAAGCCCTGCCCGGGACCTCCATGCTGAGATGCATTTCACCTAGAGAGGGCATAATCATAGAGGTGACATAATCATAGAGGTGACATAGTCATAGAGGTGACATAATCATAGAGGTGACATAGTCATAGAGGTGACATAATCATAGAGGTGACATAATCATAGAGGTGACATAGTCATAGAGGTGTTTTTAAATATTTAATCTTATAGTCATAGAGGTGACTGACAGAACATAGCTGTCCTTCACCATTCCATCCACAGCCTCACCATCTTTTTTAAATATTTAATCTTTATTTTTACAAAACCTTAAACAACATTTTAAGGTTTTGTAAAAATAAAAATTCTGAGCCTGATGAAGGGGACCCCCTGCGGTCCCGAAAGCGCTTGTGTATTGGATGGCAATGTGCCATTAAAATGGATCATTGACTAACAAAAACTGGTGTGCTGGTGACATTATTCCTTTATTCTGTGATTCACACGGTGCCTTCCGTGGTCACTACAAGCACCCACCCAGCTTGGGGTTACTCTGGTTAGGAGTGCAGCAAGACATCCTGTTTTTGATAGTCATAGAGGTGACATAATCATAGAGGTGACATAGTCATAGAGGTGACATAATCATAGAGGTGACATAGTCATAGAGGTGACATAATCATAGAGGTGACATAGTCATAGAGGTGACATAGTCATAGAGGTGACATAATCATAGAGGTGACATAGTCATAGAGGTGACATAATCATAGAGGTGACATAGTCATAGAGGTGACTGACAGAACATAGCTGTCCTTCACCATTCCATCCACAGCCTCACCATCTTTTTTAAATATTTAATCTTTATTTTTACAAAACCTTAAACAACATTTTAAGGTTTTGTAAAAATAAAAATTCTGAGCCTGATGAAGGGGACCCCCTGCGGTCCCGAAAGCGCTTGTGTATTGGATGGCAATGTGCCATTAAAATGGATCATTGACTAACAAAAACTGGTGTGCTGGTGACATTATTCCTTTATTCTGTGATTCACACGGTGCCTTCCGTGGGCACTACAAGCACCCACCCAGCTTGGGGGTACTCTGGTTAGGAGTGTGACATAGTCATAGAGGTGACATAATCATAGAGGTGACATAGTCATAGAGGTGACATAGTCATAGAGGTGACATAATCATAGAGGTGACATAGTCATAGAGGTGACATAATCATAGAGGTGACATAGTCATAGAGGTGACATAATCATAGAGGTGACATAGTCATAGAGGTGACATAGTCATAGAGGTGACATAGTCATAGAGGTGACTGACAGAACATAGCTGTCCTTCACCATTCCATCC